CTTCTTACCCGGTTCTTTAATTCACTGTATTTTCTTTTCTGTCTTCCATCCCTCCTTCACTTTCCCTCCCGCCCAAAGCACTGCCGGTATCATCTAGATAGAATTGTGTAAGGTTTTCTCTTTCCTTTTTTCCCTCTTTTTGCTTATTGGACTGTGTATTCTTATCAGCATCGAGAGCACAATGCTTGGTGTGATAGAAAGGTATTAGCCAACCCATGGTAGCTACATTGTCAGCACTTCTTCCTGCTCTGTCTCTATACCACTTCTCTTACCTCTCTGTGTCCCTCCTCTCTCCTCTTATTATTCTTTTCTGTTGATTTTTATCATCTTTTCCATGGAAATGTGGTTTTAAAAATATTGTTCGGATAGTGAGATGCTTCATTCCTCTACACCTACGTTCACGAAAGTTTGTCAGAGTCAAATAAATGTATTTTGTAAAAAGCTTTCCTAAGTACAATTTGTAAGCTCAAAATCTTTGCTCTTGGCTAATTATTTTTAAATTCTCTCCAGCAGGGAAAGCAACATGAACGATTATGATAAAACCGAGTGATTTCTGAGGCTCTGAATGGAAAAGCTGAATGTTAACATGACACCAAGACTGTCTGTTGTAAACCTCTCTTCAGCTCACAGCTACTTACACTGCATCTCTTCTATAACCCGGGCGGGACAAAAAACAGTTAGGAGTTGTTTGAGGATCAGTTTGTGTTTATGGCTGCCATCTAGCGAGGCAGTCGTACAAAGATTGTATATAATAAAAGGGTGCAAGTGCACAGAAAGTAAAGGAGCACACAGCGAGCAGCACAGAGACACAGAGTGCGGCCCAGAGTAGTTGCTCTAATACGATGATTGTATGTTTGTCCCTGCCAGTTGTCAGGGCGCTGCATCAGCCCACCGCTCTAATGACAGCTTGTCATACTAAATGGCCCACCTTCCTTCAAAACACACAGGAAAAAAGATTCTCCTTCTTCCCTTCTTTCTTTTTTTCCCCCACTCATTCTGCTTCTTTCTCTCCACACTTTCATGAGTCACTGTGCATTCAAAAGGTGAGAAATGAAATAGGAAAGAAGAGAAAGAGAAAATGACAGGGATCGAGCTGGAAATGGAGACAGGGGAAGGCGGTAATCTTTCTGGGTGTGTGTTCTGCCTCAGTAAGGGACAGGTAAATAGGCCTGCTGAATATTTGATGTCTGCAGGAACTAAACAGCCACTTTTCTCCCCTTGCTCTGGCTGCCTGTGAAACAGTGTCATATCTAGTTATGTCACAAACTCTGTTTTGTGTGGTCAATTATATCATAGGCGCTTATCCTACAATGAAATCCTTGAAAACAACTTGACTTAAAGTTACTTAAAGTGGACCTATCATGCTATATTTGAATAATATAGTGTAGGACCATACCTATATAAGGCATATTTATACTTTTTTTCTTTTCAAAATACCAAACAGATCATGCATTTTAGCCATGCCTCATTTCGCTCAATTTGAAAAATGTTAGCTCTGTTTTAGCAAGGGCTGATTCTGTGAGAACAGCACCATCTACAGGCCTGGCATATGTACTACAGCGTCTCCAGCGCTTTTGAGCGGCAATGGCCGTGGCTGTCTCCTCCTGATTGGTGGAGTTGGCCCAAACGCCGTAGCGCCACCGTCCTGACGTCAGGACAGTGTTCAAATCTGGATCAGTTTTTATCAGATCCGTTGCAGCCCCTTTTTTAGAGATTTGGGTATGGAGGAAAATAGAGAGGGTTGTGTTTTCTGACACTTGGTGAGTTCCCTGGAACACCGGGGACACATATTCATGTATAAAAGACGTACAAAAGTGCATTTTGCATGATAGGTCCCCTTTAAAGTTACTTAAAGAGCTTAAAAAAATTCGGAAAATGGTTTAAGTGTCCATCAGTAAGATATCAGTTAATGTTTAACATGTGAAACTAAATTGTTTTTAGATTAAAATAAACCTTTAGTATGATGGTATAGTCTTGCTAAAAATAAATAAATGTAATACTTGCTTCCGTTTTTTAATGAGCATGTTAGAATATGGAGCTCTTGTGCTGAAGTGGATTAAATGTACAGAATAGCAGGACATTCAAACCCCTTCTTTTGTAACAGAATTAAACAAACTAGCTAATTCTCAAATCTTATTACCACTCTTCTTTGTGATTTACTGAAATCATCTCGTAACACAATGCTCACGTCGTTGATCTTCTTGTGAAAATACAAAAAGGAAGAGAAACACACTCAAGCCTTTCCCTCTTTATATAAACCTCTTAAACACCTCAAAACATAAAGAATTGATAAAAACTGCGAGCCACCCCCTTCTCTCTCTCCACACTCATCTGAAGAGCAGACAGGCACAATAAGACTGCTCTTTCAGCACTGAGCCGTCGTTACATAGCGCCATAATTATACTGATAACATACATACATAAATGCATTCAACCTCTCGCTCGGCACAGCGCACTGGCTGTGATTTCTTAATCTTCTTTCCACTTCTCGCATGTCCTCTTTTTTATTCTTTTTATTCCTCCCCCTTCGACTGCCATTATTTTTCATTTATAAGCGGAGAGAGGGAGACGGAGCTAAGAGGAGGAATGGAAAGGGAGAAGGAAAGAGAGATAGATGAGAATTTGAGAGAGAGAGAAAGAGGAAAAAAGCGCCTGAGATCTTTTGGCACTTAAACTCTTTCACTTAATGGTACTCAGAGGGATTGACGGTCGAAGGGAGGGGGCACAAAAGAGCATAAAGAGTGAAAAAGGAGAGATTAAATCATCACCATCACATCATCTACTTAAATGGCTCTACTCTTTTTTTTCTGTCACCACTGTATTTTCTCTCCCTATGCAAGAACATGGGCAACCCAGTGCAATTTGTCATCATCCTATCAGTATTTCCCACATTTACCTGTAATTCTCTTTTTCTTATTCTATCCCCTAATATGTGTATCTGTCCCTCTTCAATCAACGATCTCAATCCTTTTTACCTCCTTTGCTCTTTCTGGATTGGTGCCCGAATCGTTCTTACCGTCCCCCTTAATTCCAAACTGAAAGCCTACCTTAGCATCAGATAAACAGATTTATAGACATTGGTGAATACCACAAAGCCACGATTAATGGAGTCACCAAATTAGAAGAACTTGAAGGGAGAAGAGGGGGGGGGGGGGGGGGGGAGTGGGGGTGGGAATGAAATATATGATGAAAAGGTGCGGAAAGGCCAAAGTATTGTTCATTATAAATGTCATGTCATTTTATGAAAGGAAAAATGGACTCTAAAGGAAAGCCCTGACTTTCTGGGAAACAGTATTCACACAGTGTAGGTTCGGCTGAAGAAGGAGGGAAGCTCTGTCCCATCCTGCTGCTCATCAAACACATTAAAGCACATTCAAAACCAAACCGTTCTGAAACTACTGTCAGTCATTTGGCGATCATCATTCAGTGCAGCCGACCCGTCTTTCTCACTTTGCCTTGCTCTGTCTGTCTGTCTTTCTGCTTTGGCCGCCCCTCTCTCTACCTGTTTTCGCTGTCTATATCCATTCCCCGTTCCCCCACCCTTCCCTCTCCCGAGCGCCTGTCCATTCTCCACCGAGGCGCTGTCTGTGTTTTATGGGTCCCTGTAGAGCAGGGATCTTTTACAGGCCGACTGGACTTTAGAAGCCCCTCGTTTAGCAGCATCCTGCCTTAATTAAAAACCCCTTTTGTGCTTTCTGCCTTTAACAATGAAAGGGTGAGAAGGGAGGGAGAGCAGGGTTAGAGGGAAAGAGAGTGGTAATGTGAAGAGAAAAAGAGAGTGGGCAAGGATAGAGGAAGAGAGAGAGAGATGGCAGTGAATAGAAAGTGATAGGGAGACAGGCAGATAGATACTAAGGTAGACAAAGGGAGGGATGGAGAGATACGGACATAGAGAAGATAGCTGTTAATTACAACTGCCATTAACAAGACACCAGTCCGCCTCCTTAGGGAGAAGGGGAGAAGAGAGAGGGGAAAGGAAGGGATGCAGAGTAGAGGAAGGCAGCAGGAAAGAACAAGAGAGAGGAGAGGAATACAGTACAACTCCAGCACTGATTAGCAGAGATTTGTCTCTTTTTAAAAAACAAGTTTTGTATTGCATGGTTTACAGAAACTTCTTCAACAGATTATTTGAGTGTGTGCTGGAATATGACTGTGTGTGTGTGTGTGTGTGTGTGTGTGTGTGTGTGTGTGTGTGTGTGTGTGTGGTGTGTGTGTGTGTGTGTGTGTGTGTGTGTGTGTGTGTGTGTGTGTGTGTGTGTGTGTGTGTGTGTGTGTGTGTGTGTGTGTGTGTGTGTGTGTGTGTGTGTGTGTGTGTGTGTGTGAGTGTGTGTGTGTGTGTTAGCCTCATGTATGTGTGAGGCTGTCTTTGGGATGATTGAGCAGCAGAGAGGCTGCTTACTGATTACCTTCATGTAGAACAAGCTGCTATTGACTGGAAAGTGACGGATGACCGTCGTCCCCCGAGCATGTGTTTGTGGGAATGTGTGGTACTATACTATAGGTGCTTTGCTGCTACTCTATTTTACACATGGTTTCCCTAATGAACAAGAATCTATTTAGTTGTAAAATGTAGCTCTCTTACTCTTGTTTATTTTCTTGTCCCTTGTTTCTCCCTCTACAAAGCTCCCTCTGTAATTTCTTATAAGGAAAGAATAACAAATGTGATGGATGGATTGTGTTTGAACATGTATGTGTGTCATTTATACAACTTGGCCCGGCTCAGTGAAAGAATACAAATCCATCATTGGAAGTGACAGTGAGGAAATACAACAACATTAGAACAAATGATTGCTGTAATTGGACTTTCAAGCATTGCCTTTACTGTATCTATTTGTCTTCTCCTCTGGCTGTGCCTTTCCTCTCACCCTTCCTATTGTTGGTTTTCACTCTTTTCTTTATAAGTATCCATCATTCTTCTGACATTTTACACGTGACATTCTCTTGTAATAATATCATATTCTTCTTTTTCTTCTTCTTTGTACACCTGTCTCTCTCCCTCAGGCTTCTCTGCAGAATGTCCAGTAAGGAGCGCCACCTTGAGTCCAACTGTCCGTCCTCTTACATAAAGACTGAGCCGTCTAGTCCTGCCTCCCTGACTGACAGCCTAAACCATCACTCCCCTGGTGGCTCCAGCGACGCCTCAGGTTCCTATTCGTCCACAATGAACGGCCACCCCAACGGCTTAGACTCCCCGAGTCTGTACGGCTCCAACGCAGGGTCCCTGGGTCCCGCCGGCGGACCCGGATCAAAGCGCTACGAGGACTGTTCATCCACTATTGGGGAAGATTCACAGATTAAGTGCGAGTACATGTTGAATTCCATGCCCAAGAGGCTGTGTCTGGTCTGCGGGGACATTGCGTCAGGGTACCACTATGGAGTGGCATCCTGTGAGGCCTGCAAGGCCTTCTTCAAACGCACCATCCAAGGTTGGCTTCTATTTCGACTTTCTGCCTTTAGTTATCTCTATGTTGGTCTGTGTACATTGGTTGCAAATGATGCGAGTCAGAAGTTAAAGGTGAGGAAAGATTTTCAGATAAAAGTCAATGGGCTCCTTAAAAAGCCTCAACCCTTTTAGATAAGTATTCCATACAAAGCACCTAAAACATAATCTATGATGAAATGAATTGCACAAGGACACAACATGCATTCTATCACACACACACACACACACACACACACACACACACACACACACACACACTCACACTCACACTCACACACACACACACACACACACACACACACACACACACACACACACACACACCTGAGCCATTTTGCTAGATCCAGGACATATGATAAAAGCCCCAGGCCAGATGTGAACCCAGATTTTTATTTGGTTCATGTTCCTGCTAAGTGAGCCACCACAGTCTATTTTTCTCTCACCTTCAACATTTTTCTTTTCTTTCGACACGCATGCACCCACACTCACATATAAGCATCCAATCAGGTTCCTGCATACACACCAACTCCCAGAAACGCCCCACTTTCACCGTCAACCTTGACTTCTTCTTCATCAACAGCAAAGAGTAATTTCCAAGTTGTGTTTGCATTCCCAGATCTAGCTGCTTATTACAGTGTTAGCTATAAGCCTGTTGTCTAAAAGATAACGTAGTATCAGAGGAAGGTCAGAGGTTATGTCTAGGGATCAGGAGTTCAGGTTAGGGGTTAGAGGAGAGAAGGGGTAGAGCAGTAATCCACATGATGAGAACAGTACCAGGAATTAGGCTCAGTAATCCTTTGCTCATCTCTTGTTGGTGCTAGAAGTGTTCCAGGGTGTGCTAAGGTATTTTGGCCATCCAGTTTTGAGGATATTGAATTCATACTCAACTTTCAGCTTGATCAATGGAATGTCCTTCATTTACCCTTGTAAGCACTGGACAGGTCACTCTTTCAGATAACCAATTAGCCATAAAGCAAGCCAGTAAATCAGCCATTTGTTCATTAATCCAGAAAATTCAAAAGATGACTGGACCATCTTGGTTTCACATGATTTATACAACATGTGGAATATTATCTACTATATGGTGCATAGAATATGAAAACATTGAATTGGTGAATTAATTAATTGGGCTTTATAATGATTTTTGTTTTATTTATTTGGGCCAGATTAGCCTTTTTGGGAGACTGTTGAAAGCGTGAGATAGAGGGGATGACATGCGCAAAGAGAGCAGACCTGTTTTGAACCTGAGTTTGCAGCAGCAGGGACTGAACCCCAGCTCTCACCCCTAAAATCTGTCTTTCAAAACTGTTGGACTATCACTGCCTTTCTATGGCACAAGTCCATTTGTTACTTCTGAAGACATTATTCCTAACAAAACAGGTCATGAATTTATATAATCTTATTTATTAAGAAGCTAAGCCCTGTAACTTTTGGTATAGTGATATGTGTTAGCCACTGCTTCTGTGCACTAGCAAGTATTTAGAGCAGCAGGATGGTAGAACTACAGTGGCCATCTATACTTTATAGATTATTTTTAACGAGATTTGGAGGAAAATAAATAATATCACAAGACTTTAATAACCCATTAGACATGGATCCATAAAGCTGTTTTAAGTATGCAGGGAAAGTCATCACATTTTATAATAGGACTAACCATGGTGGTTAACCCAATCTGAATGATAAACCTTTAAAGACTGTTTGTTGAGTAATAATCTTCAATGATTTGTCCAAGTTATTCAAAGTAACTAATAGGCCCCGTTAGTCTTTAGGGCCACTCTCTTGTCAGTCAGTATGCCACTGCAATAACCAAGCTACCAGTCAGGAGTCATGGAGTCAGTCGGTCCGTCAGTCATATCGTACAGGATTCATCTATCGGCCTTTCCATCCATCCACCTATCTGTCGCTGCTTCCTTTGCCTCCGATAAGCTGCTTTCCCAGTAAAGCCCCAGAGAGAGAGGGGGAGACAGGGAGATGTTCGGGGGTGGAAGTCTTACATCCACTATGTGGTCGCCACTACCTAGAGATGACCTGTGTGTGTTTATTATGGGATGAGATCAGGACACAGTGCAATCCTCACAAAGAGATTGGAACACAAACATAGAGAGATACAGTCACGCACGGCAACAAACTCATAGAAGCACATCCACACACCAACACACATCAATAGACAGACACACACATGACCTTGTGTGTGTAGGTTTAACCCTTAATTCCTCCGTCATCCCAGTATGATAGTTGACCAATTCCATATGTCTCATTTCATTTAGGGCATGTTAAAGGTTACATAGGTGAGGATACAGTGAAAGATTAAATACCAAGAGCCCAGCAAATGTATGGATACGATGCCATGTTGACAGAAGGGAACTCTTGGGAGTATGACCTTCAAAAGATTCAAAGCAATTCCCCGTCCACTGTCGCGCTTTCTCATTTGACTTCATGTGTAATCTTAACTTCTCCTGTAGTGGACATGCTGCAGCTCAGGCAGGTCAGAGTGAAAGGTTATGGGTCAAGACTAGCAAATGGGACTTTTGTCACGAAAGGTTGTGACAAATAACAACAGTTTGGTGAACACAATTGCAGGAAGCAACATTAAAAGTGGAGCCATCAGATTTTCTGAAAAGTTAGCTGAGAGGTAAATAGTGTATAATTAAAATAAATCAGACATTCTAACACATTCCTTTATGGCTCAGACGGCTAGATCGCATCCAATATTTTGCATTTATTACAAAAAATGTAAACTTTTACCCAATAACTCTACACAATCATTTCCTAAACTTGACTTGACACAACTAGAATGTATTAAGTAAATCTGTTAATACATTTCTTCTTCTTTTTTTTTTAAAGTAGCACACGTTCTTTCATGATTTGTGCTACAGACTTACTGTTGATATTTGGGGATTTTTTTGGGATGCAGAATGAGCACTCTTGAATCCAACAGAGCAAATGGGTCATGACATTATCTTTGGCTGCCACACAAGCCAAACTCATCCATAGATGGTGTAGGTGTGTGTGTGTTACCCCGTGTCTGTGTGTGTTACCCCGTGTCTGTGTGTGGGCTCCTGCTCATCCACGTAAATGAGCACAGGTTTATGTGTACGTATGTGCACATATGCCTGTGTTTATGCACGCTTGTGTGTTAGTGTGTGTATCTTGGCTGGAAAGCAGGGCCAGCCTCAGATGGGCAGCAGCAGACATATTGGTATGTTTCAACCCATTAGCCAATAAAACCGCAGGTAATCACCAAAAAAAACACCTCCAGCTGGACAGGGAGGAGAGCATGGGGCGGGAGAGGAGATGAGAGGAGAGGAGAGGAAGAGAGAGAAGAGGAAGTGTGTACTCTAGTTTGAATAAAGAACAAGTTAAAACAAGGTATGAGGAAAAGAGGGGAGAAGAGGGTGGGTGGACTGGGCACACAAATGTAGGAAGGAATTAGAGGTATGTGTGTGTGCATGTGTGTGTCGCAGCATGGAGGAAGTGGCTCTGGCAGCTGCTGTTTCTGTGGCGTTAGTCCAGCAACACCTGACAACCTGCATCTATCACTCCCTTATTGAGAGAGAGGGATAAAGGGGAGTGAGGAGGAGGGCAAAGTGTGAGAGGGGTAGAGGTAGGATGAGATGGAAAGACAGTAGAAAAAAAAGTGGATGAGAGCAACAATGATAAAGATGAAAAAGGTAAAGAGTGCAGAGGAATTGTGGTTGAGATCGAATAAAAAAGGGTTATGTTCATACTTGCCGTAACAAAATAAATACAGTTTTTATAAGGACCATTTTAAATTCTTAAGTCAATGTACTGAGATAAGCAAGGGAGTTGAGAGGCTGAACAAGAACAAGTTTTAAAGTATAATGTCAGAAAATGAAAAAAAAGAAAAGGGGCTGAAAGAGAACAGCAGGCAGAAAACACAGTGTGTACATTGGTGGGCAATGTTCATGCAGCAGGAAGACTTACACACACACTCAAAGGAGATTGTAGGGGATTTGAGACCGTCATATATCCCTATGGCTCATACCAGCACACACACACACACGCACACACACACACACACACACACACACACACACACACACATACACACACATACTTACAAACTCACACGTTATACATGTACTTAAGATCCTCCAAGCACCCTTCTGCTCTAAGCCCACCTCAGTGCACAATAAGACACATAAAGAGATACAAAGAGAGGGCCATGACATTCTGATGTAAACCCTTATTTTCTAATTCCTGCAACACATAGTCCTGTTTCACTCATTTATAAGGGCTTTTGATGTAAGCCCAGTACCCAACCCTGTTGAGTTGAGGTACTGTAAATTCAAATTTGACTAACAGTGTTATTTCTGTCATAAGACAAATAATAAGCATGATCATTATCATTATCGACTATTGAGGTGCGCAGTAGCACTCAGCATGTGAAGATGTTGAAAATGGTTTCAGTGAGAGGTTAAACACATTTAGCTTTAGTGCTACCTGCTCCATAAGTGGCTCTTTACTGCAGTTTTCCATTTAGCAGCGCTTGCCTGTTTAGCCTTGCACTAACAAGGCCTTTTACCGACCACCCATTAACCCACGCAAATTCTGTGTCATTAGCACATTTAGCCTCGTGCTAGGTAAGTGTCCCTCTTAATTGCTGAATTAATCTTCACCTCCTGTATCATCAGCATGTAAAGGTTAGGTATTAGCTAACTAGTCCTATTAGCAGTGTCCATTAGACTGTAAGGGACCCCAAGTATTTAGCATGTTTAGCCTTTACTTTAACTAAGAAGGCCTATTAATGAGAATCTTGTTATCCATTAGGAAGTGTTCGTCCATTTACCCTTTTCCCTAGCTAACTAGCCCCCTTAATCAGCCCAGTAATGAGAAAACATCCTCTCCACAGCAGCAGTCAATAGCAATCACTGTTTACTCTCTTTCAGTGGGAGATGCATTGACTTGCTAGTAGTCATGTGGGCATGGGAGGAAGGGAACAATACTGTTGTTTTTTGGTATTTAGTTCCTAACACAGTTCCTAGATTAATCAACTTTCCTGAACAAAGAAACCTGTTTGAGAAATTCAGCAATAGTCCCAACAAATCTATAACTGTGCTTGGCTTTGAACCGCGAGGAAGCAAATAACTAAGTAGAGGAAATAAGCAGAACAGGAGGCTGAGTGAAGCTGAAAATAAGAAAACAAAACAACAGAATGAAACAGAGTAAAAACCAAAGGAGGAAAACAGGTGGCACAATGTAGAGCGTTGAAAATAGATCTCATTAAGACATGTGAAAACAGTTTTGAAATATAGTGGAGACATGGAACTAAGAACAAGGATATAGAAAAGTTGAGGAAGAAATAGTGAGGCTGTGGACGGAAAGGTAAAAGTGGTATTATCCTTTAACACCCTTAAGGTGTGGTTGTTTCTGTTGGTGAAGGTTGTGAAGTTAATAGACTTAACATCAGCTCATAATCTTAACCTCAGCTCTTCATCAGTGTAAGTGAGTGAACTGCAGCTAGTCACGCAACCTTTCTGTAGCACGCATGCACATACAGTTCATACGCATGTCACACACACACACACACACACACACACACACACACACACACACACACACACACACACAACTTTTTCTATTCAGTCCAATGTAAAATGATAACTTTAGGGGTTAAAGTATCACTGAAACGTCAAAACAACAGACTGACATTGATGAAACATAATCCATACACAAGATATCAGATTGCTGCTTATGCTGTTAACTTTGGTTTTAGTGTCTGGGCTGTTTGTAGCCACCATAGAAACAAAAGGACTTCTTAAAGTCATAGGTCAAGACCAAGGTAGCTGAGTCAATTTTCATAAAAGTACATTTTATTGTATTTGTCTCTGTATATCTTTTTACAACTCTAGATTTCTTCCTCTCTTAAAAAATGAATCTAGATCCTTTTTACCATCTTTGTGCAGCAGGAAGTGTCTTCAAGGTTGTCAGCCCACCTGAAATATCCATCTAAAATGAAACCCTTTCTCTGTGTTCCTCCAACATGTTTACATACAGGCAACATAGAGTACAGCTGTCCAGCCACCAACGAGTGCGAGATCACCAAGAGGAGACGCAAGTCGTGCCAGGCCTGCCGCTTCATGAAGTGTCTGAACGTGGGCATGCTGAGGGAGGGTAAGGGAAAAGGTCTCTTCCTTATCTTTCTCTGTTAACTGTGCTACATGTAGCATTTTAAGGCCTGAGAAAATACTCAGAGATACAGTTGTATCGATCAAAACTTTGAAAACTTCATGGCACCGGTGAGGTAAATGCAAAAGAATTATGGAGAAAATAAATTCAAATCTGTTAAGATTAAAAGATTAGATACAAAGGATCAATGGGGAAGCAATGGGGTTTATGGGAAATGTGGTTTGTTTGGGCAACACAAGAACAGCAATGTGATAAATAAATGTAAACATGGTGTCTTGTTTTACAATAAATATACCATAATACATCAAAGTATGACAATGGAATATTGATGTTGAACAATGCTACATGTATCACTTCTAAACAATTGTTAATACTCCTTACAGTATATACATTATATTGTAATCTATTGCTTTTGGCATCATGACACAAGTACCATCTTACAACTTTGAGTCTTTTGGTATCCTCATAAGTGTTCATAGCTTTGGTTTGCCTGTTTTATTTTCACTGTGTATGTTCATCTCTGACTTCCACATACAGAAGTTACAATAGTTTCTGAGGCCAACACAGAAAGTCCTACATCCTTGCCTTCCCTAAATGAGATACACATTCCAGGATTATTGCTACACTCACAGTGAGTGTTGCACAGGGTTGAGGAAAAGTAAACAGAGAAAAAGAGACATTATCTGCCCCCACACCACTTTGATTAAATACACTCACTCTCTCATTTTCACACTCCCTCGTTGCCTGTGTCTCTTTCTCTCCCTCTTGTCTCCCAACCTCTGACCTTTCTACTCCCACTGCACTTCCAACGATGAAAAGAGGGAGAGGAGTGGCAAGGGATGAAGAGAAGGGCCGATTGAGAGAGAGAGAGAGAGAGGAATAGTGGGAGGGGGGAAGGTAGGAGAAATCTAGGGGGAGGGAGGGAGAGAGAGGCGATTGATTTATAGGAGCAGAGGAGAGGGACCAGGGGAGGATGAGAGGCAGGGGGAGGATGGTTGAATGAAGCAGAAAGTGTGTGAGAGAGAGAAGGGAGAAGAGAGGAGGGTCAAGGTTGTAATTGATGGGAGACCTGGCCTACGCCCCCTTCCTCACAGTGGTCAGGGAGCGTGCCAGCCCTCCCTCCATCCATTCCTGTCTCCATGTCCCCCTCCGATGCTCCCACACAGTGTACTGTACTGTTTCTGTGGCCTCTCTTGTGCTCTTAATACACACATTCTCCTCTTCATTTGCTGTTCCCTCCATCCTGTTAGCACCATGACACTCAAACAGACCTGAGGCTGCTCTTCCAGTTTGATGTCAATAGTGGTACATTAACAAAACAACAGCAAACAAATATATTTTATAAAACTAATCACTATTCTGGAGTTTGTCCCTGTTTTCTAAATGTTCCCATTCACACATTGTTGAATATACAGTAAAACACACCTCAGAGCTTTACTAAACTCACTTAAAAACCTTACAAATATTGAACTTCCTCCAACAGCTACAGTTTTCACTGCAAAAAAACATGCTCTAAGCTGATATCTCTCTCTCTTTTGCACACACACAGACAGAATACACACTCTTCCAACAAGCTGCTGTCGTAGCTATTGTTCTCCCAGTTGATCTGACATAGGCAGAACCCATGTCTCCTCTCCTGTTTTGTCTCGCATACAGTATGTGTGTGTGGCCACAAATACCCACAAACATTATGTATTATTGGCAGCTCTGACAGTCGCACAGTTTACACAGCGCACACTGCATCCTTCTGCTGCACGCAGAAACCACATTACGCTTGTCAATAAACTCTTAAAAAGCCATAATTTGCTCACTTTTTTTTATATTACATTTTCTTTTACAAATGATGCTATTGATTTGAACTCTTAGGGCTGTGGTTTGCCCACTAATCCAATATGGGAGTAAAACTATGATGCCTTTTGTCACCCTGCTTCCCTGCTCAACACACATATATCATGCACACAAACACAGACACATGCACACCCACCTAGTCCTACATATATATACATCAAAATGACAGACCACAGCCACCTCATTTGTTGTGGTGGGTGTGAATGTAATACATGAGGTCCCGCTCTACATATGAATAAGGGTAATTTGGGAAATTGATACATCCATTTTCCTATACCTTTTCATTTTTTTATGTATTCAAACTGTGATATATGACAAAGACCAAGAACTATAAAAAGAGCTAAATGTAAGTGTTCCCCTTTGCTTTATTTTGCTGGATATATTAGTTAATATTATATAGTACATTTAACTTTTTAAAGAACTAGTGCATGCTGCAGAGACACTACATATCTCCTGAAACCTTCCCTTGAACTATTGTTATAATATGGAAACCCTAACTAAACCCCATTGTAATGCAGTGGTGTCACAGGAAACAAAAATAATATCAGATTAGGGGGTAAAAATAATCACATTGCAAAAACAGACAATACGAACCACATCAAAGACATTGGTATACTACCTGGTGAAAAATATTAGCACTCTCAACTAACAATCCTTTGCACACACAACATTTAGGAACATTGCCTAGTGTGTTATCCAACCCTTCCGGGTGTATGCATCGTTGCAGCAGGATTGCATAGATGATAATGGTAAGTGGCTAGATCAGTTAGCATCAGAGCTAACTCTGGTTGTCAGGGGCTAGCTCACGGGAGAAAGGTGAAGATAAAGTGGTAAGGGGGGAGTAGGGTGGAGGACATGGAGTAGAGGATGGTGTGTGTGTGTCTGTGTTTGTGTGTGTAGATGCTGTAGTTTACCCCTTAGGGCAAGATCTGCCTCAAATTAGCTTTGTCGCCCTGGGAGACAGAGAGGGTGAGATGAAAAGCAAAAGCAGGTGAGGCAGCAAGGAAGAGTGTGTGTGTATGTTTGTGTGTGTGTAGGACCAAAAGAGAGGGGAGAACAAGCGGCCAGAGGGTCGGTAAACCAGCCTTAAAGTGGAGCCTTTTCTTTATATTTTCTCTTAAACACACACCTGATCGTGTCAATACACATACATGTACACACATCTCTGTGTGTGGAGTATTGAGGAGAGGAGAGGCGTCAACGAGCAGGGGGTAAACTGAAACGAACATGGGGCACCCACCCACCAATATGTAGCAGCTAATTTCTGGAGCAAGGCAATTAAAAGGCCTGACTATATTATGAGAACTTCCCCTCTGGCAATGGCTGTCTGTCCATTTTTAATGAGGTCATAATGATGCGTCAGCTGAAGACCAAAAGGTCACAGGGGCGTGGCTAAAACCTGCCTAGAGAAAGGGTAAAAGGAGAGAACAGAATATTACTGCAGGTAAAATATCTGATGAACAATAATGAAACAGGAGGTTGATTACGATTTGTAACGAATACCTCAGAACATACATTTCAATTGAATTATTTTATTTAACAACTTACTCGCTGTAGTAGATTATTTCATTTGTACAAAACTGACAAGGCAAGACAGACATTCATATTCAGCAGTAATGCTTACAATTGTCACGAACAGAAAACAAAACACTGATCAGACATTTGAACATGAAAGGCTCCGGCAGAGGCACACAGACCACGAGCCAGCAATATTCAGTATGCATGTACATCGTACATATGGTCATATTGACACATTTGCTCCCTTACAACATAGCGGCTTTGATGATGGCACGTCTGATGAATCGTGGTTAAACAGACAGAATGTGTTGAATCCAAACCCGAAGCCTCCATCTCTATATTGCCATAAACGGCCAGCTGGATTCAGATGGTAGACTACGAGAGAGACAAGTCCACAGACTGCAAATATAAACGTTGGCAGACTGCCCCTTACACACACGCACACACACACACACACACACACACACACACACAACACACACACACACACACATACACACACATACACACACACACACACACACACACACACACACACACACACACACACACACACCACACACACACACACACACACACACACACACACACACACACACACACACACACACACAGCTCATGCCAACTTTGGCCATGCTCCCCACGGCCTCTAAGACCTAATGAGTGAGATCGGGTGGAAGGCCCCAGTCTGTGTAAGTGTTGGTGCTGGTGTGTGTGTGTGTGTGTGTTTTCTGTGTATATACAGCTGGCAGTGTGCGTCATGACTCTCTTCATAGCTCAACAGTCCTGCTGCCCACATCTTATTGCTGCACACACATATAGTAATACAATCAAGATGACTGACTGAAAATGTCAGTCATTGCAAATGTTATAAGATTAAATGAAATGACAAGGAAAACACGGTGTGGGCCAACAGATGATTGGTTAATGAATAGTGCAGATGAGATAACGAGAGATGGGAAGGAGAGGATGAAAATAGAGAAAGACTAGAGGAGGAGAGAGCGAGTGATGGGAGGAGGGAGGATACAAGAGGACAGGATGGAGAAACAGAGGAGGGGAGTGCCAGACAACTGGTGGCGTCTGGTGTTCTCCCATGGGAAACTTGTAGCTAAATCTGGCCCTGTAGCGTCTGTCCTGAGTGAGTGTTTGTGTGTGTGACTCTCATCTGGTTGCATCCCAGCTAGAAAAGAGCGATAATGGCAACAGTGTCACGAGAGATCTGCCCAAGTGGTTCCCTTTCTTTCTGTTTGTCTTGAGAGAAGAGGAATAGCAATTTATTTAACAAAAGATTGTATCAAATTTGGAAAGTAAATATAAGTTAAACAACAAAAAGACTTCCGATTGTTAAAATGACATATATTTCTCAGGAACATATTATAACTGAGCAAGTTTGTTCGCTAATGTTGCCAATATTTATTTATTTTTAAATGGTGATAATAAACAGTGGCCTATACTCCGAAATGTTGAATGTACAGTAGTTGTTTAAGTGTATTGGTGTATTTAGTAAGCACAGCCTTTAAATAAATATGTGGAAAAGGCAATATTTTAAAGACCTCACATGGTCACACACATGGCTACATTCGCACAAACACACACACACACATATTCACACACCAGTGACAGCCACCTGCCCGCTGCCTCAGGCAGAGCTGTTCAGATCTGTTCTGGTCTAAACAAACGTCACTGCATGACACCACACACACTCTCCTCTTAACCTCCCCTCCACCCTTTTTAGTTCATGCTCTCTTTATTTTTAAGATCGTTTTTAAGATTTTTTGCCAGATTACATCACCGACTTAAAAAACAATTAGCTGAAGCTGATCTAAATATACCAGATACACGAAAAAGTATCCATATTCCGGTTATTCTTCAGCTTTATATGCACATAGCCTTTTTGTCATGCTATTTCTGCTTCTTCTTCACATGCAGACAATTTATAGACACACATGCACACATACACAAACACATTAGATATAAATGGTTCTGTTGTCTAACCCAATCTATTTGCCCATCAGTTGTTAAACCCACATAGGAAAACCCTTTATGTTATTACATCAACACTGGGGTTTCACAGAAACACCTATACACCTACACACACACACACACACACACACACACACACACACACACACACACACACACACACACACACACACACACACACACACACACACACACACACACACACACACACACACACACACAAGGTGATAACCTGGTCTAAGGTGCAAGAGAGACTTCAACCCTGTTACAACTTCAATTACCATAAAACTGCACTCTCTCCCTCTCCTCGTCTCTGTCTCTTTAAATCTCCGTTCCTCTCGTGCTTGTTGTCATCCTTTTTTCTCTTAGCTGTGATCAACAGAAATCAATCATTTTATTTGTCTTCCTACTCCTCTCTCCACTCAATCCTTCACTCCTCTTCTCGCCCTCTTTCATCCTCTCATTCGCTTATCATATCATTGACCATCTGAAATCAATCCATTTTCTCTCGTCTTTCCTCTTTACATCTCTCTTCTGTCTTTTGTTTTTCATGCTCGCAGCTTCTCTTTTCAAAAGCACTTAGGTGTCAAAGGCATTTCCCTCGCAATCCCTCAACTGTTCAAACACACACGTGTGCGCTGACACAGAGTGACGCCAGTGCGGTGTAAAATCTATGCTGATGTGATCAGTGCAGGTCGTGCTATTGACAGACAACAATATTCCCACGATAGGAAAGACTCACCTTCATCACTGTCACTGTGTGTGTGTGCAGGAGTTTGTGTACAGCATGAGACAAAAGTGTTAAAAAAAACGTGTTTGTTAAAAAAAACATGTATGTAAAATAGATATTAATGATTATATGGTATCAAATACAGTTTATCTGCTGTGTAACGTAACGTAACATAAAAACAGGAACATTTTGATATGTGTATCTGTGCTGTAGAGGGTGTGTGTGTGTGTGTGTGTGTGTGTGTGTGTGTGTGTGTGTGTGTGTGTGTGTGTGTGTGTGTGTGTGTGTGTGTGTGTGTGTGTGTGTGTGTGTGTGTGTGTGTGTGTGTGTGTGTGTGTGTGTGTGTGTGTGTGTGTGTGTGTGTGTGTGTGTGTGTGGTAAGTGACTAAGTGGAGGTGTACTTTTAGTTGACATAATAATTAAAGTATATAATTAAGGCGTATAACCTCTGTGGATTTCATCTTTTCTTTCCTGGGTCTTTCCCTTTCTCTTATTATTCTATTCCTATCTCATTTCCTTTCATCATCCCTCACTTCATCCCTTCTTTTCTCTCTCATTTCATTTCACTTTTGTCTCATTCTTCTTTTGTTTACAAGCCCATCCATTACTCACCTCTCCCCTTCTCCACTTATTTCACAACCTGTGCGCTACTCCTCTCTCCTGTCCTCTTTTTTTTCCTACACTTTCTTTTATCATAATCTTCCATTAATGCCTTTTTTCATTTTTATCTAAATTTTATTTCTTTTCTCTCGCTCTTTTATTCCATTTCTTACCCATTCCCTGTTCAATTATTCTGTACTTCACTTGAGTTTTTTTTTCGCTTTACATTTTTTTCCCTCATCCTTACATTTCCTCTCCCCCCGACTCCTTTTCCTCTCCTTTCCTCACTCCTTCCCTCCTCTCCTCTCTTGCCCATTCTTTATGACTTGAAGGCTCATTTGTTAAGAAGAGGTAGAGCACTCTCACTCTCCCCCTAGCCTCCTCCTGTCCTTTTTTGTGGGCTTTGGAAATATAATTTTCAATTTTTAATTTGATTCATTTAGATTTGATCATTAATCAGTGCTGAGAGAGAGTTAATTTGGTGGAAAATAGATGAGGTAGTTAGAGAGGGCTCTTTATAAAGTGAGCTCAGCTCAGCACTGAGTCTTTTAGGTGTAAGGAAAAGAGAAAGTGAAAAATTGAGAGTCTGCATGTAAGAGAGTGTGTGTGTGTGTGTGTGTGTGTGTGTGTGTGTGTGTGTGTGTGTGTGTGTGTGTGTGTGTGTGTGTGTGTGTGTGTGTGTGTGTGTGTGTGTGTGTGTGTGTGTGTGTGTGTGTGTGTGTGTGTGTGTGTGTGTGTGTGTGTGTGTGTGTGTAGGGGGAAAATGTGTGTGCAATAGACATTAGTAAGAGTACAATTGCTGAGTGTCAACAACTACCAATGTTATGATTATACTTTACATTGGAAACCAGTTGAATGATTATGGCACAAAGACAACATGTAATACATTCACAAGTGATGCTACAATACTGACATGGAAACCCCATTTTTACCCTTTTTTTCAATTTTGTATTATGTATTGCTGTATTTAGGATGAATCTTGAAGCCTTTTTTTATTTATTAGTTTCATATTAATCCATCTCATTCAAACATCCACCTGCTTTCTCTCTGTCTCCCTCTCCTCTTCTGACCAACCACTGAGCCAGGCAGTGAGTGAGCAAGCTGCTTGTCGGGGCTTACCCAAACACATTGGGGATGTGGGTTAGAGAAATGTTGTCTAAATGTGTGTGTGTTTGTGAGAGAGAAGTGAAAGAGTGTGTTTGAATGTGTGAGTGCGTACGACCCCCTGGTGTTAAGAGTTTCTTGACCGTTTGCTGACACTGTCCCCCCCACTGTACCTGGACTGTCAGCCCTTCTGTCTACCTATTTTGGTCTCAAGCACGAACACACACACACACACACACACACACACACACACATACACACACACACACAGAGGCATGTAATGTTCAGTTCACTGGCTTGACTGCTGCCTTGGTCAGTAAGAGCTTTCTAAATGACAACATTACCATAAAATAAATGAGGACACTGTAAGATGGTTTGAATAAAAGCGTGTATCTGTTAAAACACAAATAAAACAGGGAAACTCGTGCTCTCACAATTGCCAACAAAATGCACAAACATGCTCACTGACATTTTTTGTCTTTGCTGCCAATAGGATGTCTTTCTGTTAAATCTCTAAGGTGTGTTGTCTTCGTCATTGTCAGCACATTTTTCAGAGGATTTAAATCTCTCTGTGTTAGCAAATCTCTCTCTTGCTCGCTCTCTCTTTTTGCCCCCTCCTCTTCCTCCTTTCTCTGTCTGTCTATACATTTAGTGCTTACTGTTTTTAATGGATATGCATTGGGAGACCTATGGGAAAGCATTAAACAGAAAGTGTTATCTATATTTTTTGGTCTAATTTTCAGATCTTTATCTGTTGATGAAGGGGATGAACCCTATTGAGCCTTGTTTTTTTTCTGAATGGTATATACAAAAAATCGTGTTAGCTTGTAACATTTGATAGCCCTTTTTTCGTTCCTCCTCTCCTCTCCTCCTCCAGGGTACATGACACCTCTGTCTTCCTTATCCATCTTTAAGTGGTAACCACGGTAACATCCAATCCCTTGAGAGATAGGCCTAATTAAATTAGGACTCCTTTGTGTCAATTAATTAACAAGACAGAGAGAGAGACAGCAACAGAGAGACTGAGATTGGGCGAGAGAGAGAGAGAGAGAGAGAGAGAGAGAGAGAGAGAGAGAGAGAGAGAGAGAGAGAGAGAGAGAGAGAGAGAGAGAGAGAGAGAGAGAGAGAGAGAGAGAGAGAGAGAGAGAGAGAGAGAGACTTTTACTCAAATGGTGTCTCTATAAATTAGTTAGTTGTAGAACAAAAGAGGCAAGCGAGTTTAACAAGCTTGACGATAACATAAAAGTGCCTGCATGCGTAACACACACATGTATGCACTGCAGAAACAGGACAGCTATCACCACTTCACTCCCAGACATATTATGTAATCTCGTTTCCTCTCTTTTATATTCCTTGTATTCTTGTTAACTAATCAAAAGAGTTCAAAAGTCATGCACAGTGTTTTGATACACGTTTTCTGTCCCTTCTTGCAGGTGTTCGTCTGGACAGGGTTCGTGGTGGGAGACAGAAGTATAAACGCCGGATAGATGCGGACAACAGTCCATACCTGAACCCACAGCTGGCTCTGCCTCCCAAGAAGCAATGTAAGAGCACACACACTCACTCAGACTGGTAGCAGTATATGTGACGGCCTTTTTCTCTCCTAGGGTTGAGCAGTGATTCTCAAGGACAGACATTTGCATACTGTCCTTGGTGCATAGTAACTCATCCTCCACAAATTGACATTTGTGCTACAGTGACAATAGCATCTGATAAAGTGTGTAGTGGGAACAATGGAGGACATACCATTGACAGTGCTTAAGGAAAATCATCCCTAGAAATCAACAGAAAAGCTTTAAATTATAGCACATTGTAGCAGGAGTTGATCAGAAGGCAGAAGTACACAACTGCCTTTCCATCAGTCTGTATACTAATTGAGACAGTTGGACATTAAAACAGAATTAAGCACAGAAACACACACACACACACACACACACACACACACACACACACACACACACACACACACACACACACACACACACATAAATAGACTCAGGGTAGTGAGAAGCCCATCTGTTTGGGACCAAGTTTATCTCCCTGTCTCTGCTGCTAGCAGTTTGCGGTCATAATATTTTATACGTATAATATTTCACTATAAAGGTAGTCATTTAGGTCCGGCTGGATTGGCTGCGTTTTTTAAAGAATGAAACCACTGCCAAAACATGATGATTGGAAAAATGAACAAGGGAGAGAGTGAGTGAGAGTAACAGGGGAACAGGTGGAGACAGAGGGAGAGACTGAGCCTAAATGAGAAGGCTTCTCAGAGAGAGAGGGAGGAAGGGAGGAAGGGAGAGAGACGAAGGGAGGGAACAGCCAGAACCCTAATCCGGATTAAATCCAATCTGGCAACCACATCAAACTAGAGTTAGCTCTTTAGCTAAGCGTCTGCTCACACACATGACACACACACGCACACACATATATACACACACATACACACACATACACGCGCAGTGCAGATTGAGCAGTGTTTAGCAGCTTGGTCCCCAAAGCCCATTTTGCTTAAAGCTGGAGCATATTCTGCTTTAGGCCAATATGCTGAATGGCTCCAACACAGCTTAACGGGACTTCTGCACTACTAATCATTGAAATGATTGGATAATATGAGTGTGTGTTTGCATATACAGAGCATTTGTGTGCTCCAGCTAACTAGATGACTTAATTAAACTAGTCTCTAGTCCTGTTATTATATTAACAAGCATTTTTCATGTAAGAAAAATAGTTTTAAAATGAGTTATTTACTAGATTCACCAGTGGGTACTCTAAATATTTATTTAGGATTTCATTTATTTTTATATATTTTCCTAAATGTATGTATGGATACAAATCTCTCAGTGAGCTGAAAACAAAAACTATAGCGTTGATATAGACTTCCTGGGTCTCTCTTGTTCTTTTTCTCTCACACATAGTCAATACACACAAAAAAAATCTTTCTGTCTCACTCAGATACACGCACACAGCCCATCTATCTGTAGCCCAATCCCCAGCCTCAGCGTCCCCATTGATTGTGTGAGAACAGAACAATAGCCCAGGGTTTGGAAATGGGCTTCCATTGATTCTAATTAGGGAAACATTAAATAAGATTTACCCACAGATACTGCACTGTGACTGGGATTGGTTTGGCTCAAACGACCCTGTAGCTGGAGCTAGAGGGAAGAGGATGGAAAGAATATATCTATGAACAAATGTGTGTGTGTTTTTGTGTGTGTATGTAACAGAATTGGGGGCGGAGAGTGTTAGATCAATACACAACTCATCCCCCCAACTCTGTTTCACTCTCTCTTGCTGTTTATCTCTATCTAGCTGTCGCTCTCCCCACTCTTCTTGTCTGTCTTTTACAATCTGTCCATGGCTCTTTTTCTACCTGTCTGTCTTCTCCCAATTTTTTCTTTGCTTATCTGCCTTACTCTTTTCCTCTTTCCCTCTATCCCTCTCTTGCTTTTCTATCCTCTGTTATTATTCCCATGCTTGATTAGTCGGTGGATTAATTTGGAAGCAGGGTATCAGTCTGTTACTAATGGGCCATAGAGATCTCATCACCACATGTCACCATTACCAGCTGAGCTGTTTGGCTTTCAGTATTATCTTTCCCTTCTGTATGTATCAGCGAAGCTTCTTAAAGCAGCAATAAAGAAGACAACATTTTAGGCAACCTGAATCACCAGCTGTAATCACCTTAATGACACCTTGAAGCATCTTCTAAACTGGCTTCAATACATTTTTTATCTTGTGTAATCTATAGTCGTGCTGCCAAATTACTGGAATCAAATCAATTATTTGTTGGTTGATTGTTGCAGAATTCCACAGAACATTACAAAGCATTGTAATCCTCCTAACTGATCTTGTTTCCATTACACACTTTGATATAAAATGGCAAAATACCATCAGCTGACTGTCAGTCTGTTTGTTTGCTGTATATATTATCATTATACTGTACAAAATAGGTATTTGAGATTATTAAAAAAAACACAAGTTTAACATTTTCCATTTGTTTATATTCTTATTTGTATAAAATAATCACACACACACTCTTGTGTACACACACGTATATATGTTATGTACAAAATGCTGTATGTGTGATATATTTAAACTGGATCTGTGTACCGTATACTATGGAGTATATGAAATGTATTGTGTGTTGACTTACAGGCTACATGTCTTCCTATTTTATTCTAGTCTAATTGTCATGTCAGCTACTTTTTTTGCTGCATATTTCAAAACCTTCAGACTTGTTTTATGCCATACCTATGTGTGGACCAGCTTGCGCCCTAATACGGCAAAAATTCACCATCTCTCTGTCTCTGTGTCTTTCTCCTTGTCTGGTGGTCATGTCAGTTGCCTTTGGCTGCCTTGCAGATAACAAAATCGTCTCTCACCTGCTGGTGGCCGAGCCAGAGAAGATTTACGCCATGCCTGACCCGACAGTACCAGACAGCGACATCAAGGCCCTGACTACGCTGTGTGACCTGGCGGACAGAGAGCTGGTGGTCAACATCGGCTGGGCCAAACACATCCCAGGTAGGAAGAAAAATCTGCTGAACCCTGACTTTCACTGTAGACCTAACCTGACTCCATGGTGTGACCGGATCAGACACTCATACGTCCATACATACCTTTTTTTTTCAATTCCAGAGTATAAGAGATTTCGCACATATACAGGATAGACACACATGCTGTGTTTATTGGCAGAGTACACTGTTGGTATCAGCTGCTCCAGATGCAGTTCAGACACGCATCCTACCTACACCTGGTGCTAAGGCGTGACCTTTAACCTTAATCCTCGCACTCAGACGGTCTGAACTGTTGACCCCTCCACCTGACCAACCAAATGCCCTCACTGGTATCACACATTCACACACACCCCAAACACACACACATTCTGACCTCTTGAACCAAACGGTCCAATCCCCTTACATTTGACATGTGTAAATGTGTGTATGGGGATGTTGGTGTGTTGTGAGTCACTGTAACATATATATGACAAAGTCCTTTGAAATTATGACCATAACTTTGTAGAGTTTTTGTAGTCCAAAAATGAAATCAAACAATAATAGAGTACATTTGAAATGTCACAATCTGATGATTAAAAGTACATGTGATATATAAACAGTAAGATGTGTTGTCCATTTAAGCCTATAGCACATGTATGTCACCCTACAGGTCAGCCTAATCTGTTTAAACTAATTCCTCTTAATCTGTTCAAAATTGGATCAGGAGTACAAGAGGAGAAAATGAGATAATGGCAGGAAACACATGAGCTAAACATTTTCTGGAAGAATAAGAAAACAAAAGACTAATGACGAATAAATCTGGCAGTGAAAGCCGAAATAAAGACGGAGCGAGACGTATGAGATGAAAACTATAATCTGGTTTTGGTTTTAGTGAGGGAGCCTGCTGTGACGGCAGAGAGGAGGGAATAGCGGTGTCTCAGATTAACACAGATTAGCACAAAGATTAGTCCCATTGTGGACTGGAAATATTGTTATAGAATAGAATGGAATTACCCCCTGTTGTCAGTGCTAAAACAGTAAAGGGGGTTGTGAGGGTATAGAGGGAAGCACCAGATTAGAGGCATAAATACCACTCAGTCATGCTGCGTAAATCTATAACAATAAAGTCAATGGCGTTGGATAACAGGATCTCCAAATGATATATTTTATATCTTATCAATACATGTGAAAATAACAGAGAAAAAGAGATGATGAGAGTGAGAGATAAAAATGAAAGAGAGATGGGAATATACATTGCTTCTTGTTAGTGTATTGATCCACGTGCTGCTATATGGACAGTAAGCAGACATATATATTGATCCATATACCAAGTATAGCCCTTTGAATATTTATTTGTCTCTTTCAAAACAACATTCCAGCCTCATTCCAATACTATCTCATTTCCTGTAATCTCACTGTCCTGCATTTACTCTTAATGCTTTCTCTTTTAATCCATTTATCTCTCTACCCTATTCTCTCTCTCCTAACCTCTGGGATACACTCAGTGTATATATAACATACACACACAAACAGAACTGCCAGACACATACAATAAACACAATAACATAGATGTGATGTTTATTTAATGTTTTGTTTTGCATTGGGCTTGACGTTTTCTTTACACACACATTTTACAAGTGAATGGACTGAGTTAGCCAGATTATTTGCTGGGGTGATGTGTGTGAGCATGTGTGTGTGTGTGTGTGCAGCTTGCTGTGTTAAGGACAGCGAAGCGCAGCGATTGCTTGGCGGAGGAGAGAAGATGGCGTGATTAGATGAACGAGAAAGGCAATCCACTGCTCACAGAGAAAGATAGAACTCTTCATCTTCCAAGTGTGTGTGTCTGTGTGTGTGTGTGTGTATGTTTGTGTGTGTGTGATGTGAACACCTTATGAAATCCTCATTGTTTACAACACTGAACACTGATCTAATACTCTCTCTCATACACACACACACACACAAACGTACATGTACACACGAAGTGATCTACTGTTCACTCAGGGTGGAAAGGATTGTCAGAAAGAAATACGCCTCCTCAACATTCTTTATCAGACTTCTACACACACACACATGCACACACTCACACACACACACACACACACACACACACACACACACACACACACACACACACACGGCAAACAATAAAGACTATACAATGACTTAAGTTGTGAATAGAATACAATATAATAGACCTATTAACCTCTTTTTAGCAACGTGTTTCACATCTTGTCAAGTGTGTGTGTGTGTGTGTGTGTGTGTGTGTGTGTGTGTGTGTGTGTGTGTGTGTGTGTGTGTGTGTGTGTGTGTGTGTGTGTGTGTGTGTGTGTGTGTGTGTGTGTGTGTGTGTGTGTGTGTGTGTGTGTGTGTGTGTGTGGCACACATCTCTGCTTGCCATGGTACAGTAATTTTTTTAATCAAATTGATGGAGAGAGACAGAGAAACAAAGAGAAAAAAGACAGAGGCAGAGAGAGGAGAGGTGAAGCCAATTTATGCTTCATGATATGGCTGCGCAGCGCTGCATACACACACATACACACACAGCATTCGCACACACAGGCTGCTAACAGTGGTAACAACGTGTCAAGGCGAGCGCCAGGCAGCTAATTTGAAGTCATTAGATGTCTGCCGTACTGGCAACAATTTGTTACGCTCACACACGCGCAAACACACACACAAAAACACGTCGCATACACACACTGAGTTAAGAGCCGTCTGCGGATAGCGAGGAGGCTAAATTGTAAACTAATTTAAACATCACTCAGTGTTAGAGAGGCTGCCTGCAAGACAGGCCCCCGGATAACAAGGCTAGGGTACGTGTGTGTGTGTGTGTGTGTGTGTGTGTGTGTGTGTGTGTGTGTGTGTGTGTGTGTGTGTGTGTGTGTGTGTGTGTGTGTGTGTGTGTGTGTGTGTGTGTGTGTGTGTGTGTGTGTGTGTGTGTGTGTGTGTGTGTGTGTGTGTGTGTGTGTGTGTGTGTGTGTGTGTGTGTGTGTGTGTGTGTGTGTGTGTGTGTTGCTAGTCATGTTTGACACACAGACTCACCCAACCTTAGAGACTTCTGACAACACACATATACACACATATTTCTTTGATTGGTTCTTTTATTCTGAAGCTGTGTATATGTGTGTGTGCACGCTCATTTCCATACTGATATGGCCTATATGCAAACATTTGATATGTCATTAGGAGAGGAAAATGAGGTTTCAGACCCAGTGTGTGTCTCTGGTTATCCCACAAGGAATGGGACTCCATCACACATGTGCCGCTTACACATGCATATGTGTGTGTCGCAGAGATGAAAAGCATGCAAGCACACATAAACAAGTATTTTAATTATTTTTGCTGATTCAAACTGCGGGCAACACACATATTGACACATTTAGTAGATAAATATATGAGCAGTAAACTGTCACTCTCGGGGAAACTGTGGGTATCTGGAAATATTATTGGAGTTATTATTCAGAGGGCGTGAAAGGCTTTGGTGTCCAATAATATGGATTAGTGAAGAGAAGATCTCATTGTAATAGCTCTCATAGCCACAACTCAGGTTGCATATTAGGCTGCATGTGTCAGGTGAGAGGAGGCACATATTTAAACAGCAGCGAATGAGAGGGTGAATTAAAAGAAAGAAAGGCCATTCAAACTGTGCCATTTATCTGTCTGTAGAATTAGTCTTTTCATCCCCTCTTTTCTGTTCCTTATTCCTTCAATGTCTCTCTCTTTTTCTCCATAATAACTAAATGACTACCGGGCAGTCATGCCGGCAGCTCTTATCTAGACTTGCCGACACAAAAGAGAAAGACAGACAGGCGAGCACTTGACTTGACGAAAGAGCAAAGAGCGAACAAATGAACGAATCATGGAACGAGAGCCAGAACCTATAACACCGTCGATTTTACCAGAACCAGGGGCCTTGCCATTAGGGTTTTTTTTTTTTACAACCCCCTCCCCCCTTCATTCTTTCTTTATTCAAGGAAGAAATTGCTCTCAGGCTGCCCCCCACTTCCCCTCAGCTATTCTCTTGCTTCCCTATCTCCTCTTACTTGCTCTTTCTTTTCTTACAGTCTTTTCTCCCTCTCTTTCTTACGTTCCCTTTTCAATTTTGACGCTCAGGATAAGCGGTCTGTGTGTCGGCAGTAACGCAGTATGATTGAGCTGTAAAAAACGGGGGGAAGGGAGGTGAGGGGGGGGGGGGGGTTTGCTGTCTGTCTATTCATTTAATCGGCCTTTATGGAGATATAGGAGAAGGGGTTTGGGTGCTGGTCGGGGTGACGGGATAGTAGGTGGAGAGGGAAGTCCCCTTGTCTCATGTTCTGCATACTTCATCTTTCTCTCTTTGTTATCATGTCTTCTTTCGCTTCCTTTCTCTTACTCCTTGTTTGGATTTAGGAGTGAGCACGAGTGTTGAAATACCCAACAGTACTGCTGAAAACATGAATTAGGATTTAGGTAAACTAAAGTGAATGTTTACAAGAGAGATGTGAGTGTGAATGGAGCACAGGGAGGTCACATACATTAGCTCAGTATAACCTGGATACTCCCAAAGAGCCTTTAATACAATACTATTGTGACCCGGTGGCTAAATATCCCCCACCCCTCCAACCTCTTGTGTGACCTCCCTCTTTCTCTCTCTATCTACTACTGGCTCCCCTCATTTTCTCCCCCTCTCTGATCTGACCTCCCACCCTCTCTCCCTCTATGGTATCCTTAACCTCTTCATTATCAAGTCAACCTCATCTCTCAACCCCTCTCCCATTTCACACCTCCCTTCTTCTCTGATCGTCACCATCCTTCTGTCTGTCTGGATCTCTCTGCTGATTAAGCAATTGGGGTTTATTGAGTCCAAGTGTAGCCCTCGATTTAAAAACAGTATGATCGTCGACCCATCAATCAGAACTCTTGTTAAAATATACGTTTTTGTCTTTTAACAGAGTAATCATTGAGGCACTCAATGAGCAAAGCCCTCCTTTATCTTTACCTCCACTGTTGTTTTGATATACCCTTTCTCTTAGTTTAAGTCATGGTATA